TATTACCAAAAAAAGTTCAGGGCTTCTCCTACATACATACCAGCAGGTGCCCAGAAGAAGCACACCTCTCTCTCGAAAACTGCCTCATTAAGATATGAGCCAAATTGGAAACTGGATAAAGAAGATGTGCTTTTTCTATAAAATGGAATACTACTCAGCCATAAAGAATGAGAAAGTAGATTCATTTATAGGTAAATGGGTACATTTTGAGGATATACTTCTAAGTGAAATAAATAAGTCACACATATGCAAATACCGAATAGTTTCTCTAGTGTGAAAAACTAAAATAGTACTCAAGATCCTAACGGGACAATTATTAGTAAATAGGAAGAAAAGGACCAAAGGTGTAGGGACAGTGAGAAGGATAGGGAATGGGGAATAAGGGAAAAGGAAAATAATATGAGAAAATGTAAAAATGGAATTAAAGTGCTTGAAGGGGGGAGGGGAGGAGCAGGTGAAGGGAGGGTGGGGACAAGGGGGAAAAATGAGAACCAAGACCTGGCATGTAAAGGTACACGATCCCAGTAATGAATGTAACTGTACTGTCTACCTAGAATGTACCAATAAATTAAATTAAATTTTAAAAAAGAGATATGAGCCAACTCCCTTGAGAGCTCCCTTAACATGTTTGCTTACAAACTCTGAGTTAATTCCAATAACCAAATACCTTTTTTTAAGCTCTCTGCAGAGCAAACCCTGCAGAAGTCAGTACCGGTCACCCACAGGAGCACGATAGCAGTGGTCACAGAGCCCTCCCCCGCCCACAGAACTCTTGTCTCTCCAACACTGGGTTAGTGGAATGACCAGACAAGGGGAGGTTTCCCTTCACTGATGCTGGCACCATGTCACCCCCAGCAGAGGGAGGCTCCTGACTTCAGCAAGGCAGAGTGATTCCTCCTCTGCCTCAGATGATCAGAACACAGTGGAAGGCCAAGCAGACAGAAAAGAAAACCGGATCCTGCTGAGCCACTTGGATCAAACCAACCCTGAAACTCACCCCACCTCCAGACTTTCCAGCTTCGGGAGCCAAAACCCTACCCTCATTAACCAGGCCAGTTTGAATTGGGTTTTGTGTTACCTGTGACTGTAAACATACTCTCCTGGTACAAAAGCAAGGTCCACTGTCTCATGGCACAGCCCTACCAGGGGTAGTGTAACCACATGAATGCACCACAGAGCCGCATATAAAGTAAAACTAATGAGGATGCTGTGTAAAATGACTGTCACTTCTGTGAAGATCTGGAGACACTTTCTGGAAAGATTCTTAATAGTGGCCACCTCTGGGCACCAGAAGACATACTTTTCACTTTACACTCTATTTACACTGCTTTTACTTATGTATATTTTGAAAAGATTGATTTTAAAAGTTATTTGAGGTGATAAACTACCGTCTGAGGCGATAATTTATTTTGGTAGTTATGAAGCCATCCATGCTCTTGAAACCCCTGCTCAGATGTAAGACACAGAGCACAGAAGAAGGCTGAATAAAGAAATTAATTGCCTCTGACCTGTATAAAGATATCTACTTATCTTGCTCCAAAGCTGGGGTCCCACCAAAGGTAATTTTTCAACAACCACACCCATTCAAACATATCGTAAAATTTTTTTCTCCTGCGGTGTAACACTGCCCCAATTCTATGATGCCCATATGAACTTTGAGGCACCTCGGAGACCTCAGAAGCATTTTGAGAAGGAACATGGCTTTAATGCCTAGAAGGGGAAGGGCCAGGTAGACTCAGTAGAGGCAGACTGCGTGTCCAAAAGTGAGCCCCAGGTGGCCTGGACAGGAAGGGTAGAGACTGGGACCGCAGTATCCGGGCAGGGAGTCACTCTAAATTCAAGAACAAAACCCCCCAAGCTTCTCAGCAACTATGGCCTGGCCCTAGGGCAGCATCCCTCTCCCAGGAATTTGAGTCAGGTGCCAGCCCGTGTGTGGCTGTAACAGGTGCCCTAGTGAAGGTTTCTGCTGGCCTCCTGGGGCTCGGGCTCCCTGGGGCACCACAGGGAGGGTCAGGATTCTGACCTGGGTGAGTTTCTATAGCACCAAAATCAGAAGGAGCTCAAAGGTCCTGAAAGTGGATGATCTATGGCTTTGGGGGGAGAAGAGTGCTGCAGGAGCCCTGGTCTGCCCTGGAGGCCTGGCTGTATCTTCCCAGACATGGTCAGGCACAAATATCTTTATTGAGATCTATCACGGGGGATAGGACAGTTCAGGGCAGACAACCTAAAACCCCACTGCCTGGGGACAGATGGGGTGTTGTGATCTGAACCAAAGCCCAAGCATGAAGGCCATGTCCTGTTCCTTCTCTCTTCACCTGGTACAATGGCTTTCTACCAGTTGGTGCCAGGCTGACATCTGGGGAGGGACCTTCCTGTGAGCTACACCAGGTAGCGGGACTGCTGTAGTACCTCCCTTTTCTGCAATCCCCATTGCCCTAAACCCAATGGACTATCCCTTTTCTGCTGGGAGCGCCCCCAGAGGGGCAGCTCACAGCCTTGAAATGGACGTCCCAACCCACCAGAGAGCCCACTCCAGGGTAGGGGAGGGTAGAATTTGGCCCTCCCAGCAACCTTGTTTCAGGAAACAGGCACCTCAGAAGTCAGGGAGCAGCCTCTGACAGCTTGGTGCATCTTGGCCTCACAGGCGGCAGCTGCTGCTCAGCACCAGAACCTCCAGCCCAGGACACTGAGTCCCTTGGGGAACAACAAACATTCCCTCAGGTCCCCAGACAAACTTGGCACCCAGGTAGAGTAGGAATCAACACTTTCCTATGTTTTCCAAGTGCCTGTGGACCTACCAGAGCCCAGTGAGCAGAGACCTTCTAGATCTGGCTCAGCTCAAGCTTGCCCATGCTGGGTTTGCAGGAAAAGCCAACCTGCTTTAGCATTCGTGGCTGGAGGGCACTGTGTTCCTGTTTCTGCATCAGGCAGAGGTTCTAGAATTTCGCTGGTTTGAACCCAGTCCTTCCAAATCCCCAACAGCTATTCATTCACCTTTCTCTGAGCCTTATTTGGAGCATGAAAATGGGTTCCTTAGAGCTGTTCTGATGATTGCATTTATTAACACTCTCTAGTGTGTACTTCCTGTCTCTGGAAGGTTCTGTATCCACTCATTTTCAGTGCTATGACTTCTCAGGAAGCAATGCAGGTGGTTTTCTGGCCTGGCCCTTGGCCTGAGGGGGATACAAACCAGAAGATCAAAATGGGAGCCTGGGTCTCTCAGGAGCAGAGTGAAGAGGAGTGACCCAAAGTGTTATAGAGGCCATGGAGGACAAATGGCTGACAAGTAGCCAGGTGAAGGGAACTGTAGATGACAGTTGTGGGAGGTGATACAGGTCACTTGGGAAGGCAACAGGGCCTCAGAGAGCCTTTAGGATGGGAAAGGAAGGTCCATGGCCTGAAAGCTGACAGCACCACCCTGAAAGGAGGTGTGCAGGGGACATGGGAGGCCAGGATCTGAGGCAAAGAGCACAGAGGTCCCAGGCTGGCCTGTCCCACAGAGGACAGAGAAGCGGGGTCCAGCACAGCCAAGTCTGGTGGATAGCAACCTGTCAAGAACACACACACACACACACACACACATGCAAATCTTCTGCTCCTTTTCTTTCTGCAATCAACTGCTCAGTTACATGGGATCGCCAGCAAGTTTGAAAAGCTCATTGAAAAGCCCAACTCTAGAAGTCATGGCCAGACTTCATTCTGAACCGGGCTGTAACATGGGAAGAGACTCGAGAGGGGTCCAACCAGTGCTTGTGTGTAAGATGGTTCAGCAGGATCTGTCTGGTGTGTCTGGTGCCAAAAGACTGGCCAAAAGGTCTGTGGTTACCAGTGCTCCAGGAGTATGTGGGCAGAGGCACCTGTTGGGGTGGGCAGTGTCCCTGACTCTCCCTCCCTCTCCTACCACAAAGGAGCCAGGAGTCCAGGACACACCAGTGACTCCTGTAAGAACACTGTCCACATGCCAGCACCATGGTCCCCAAGCTCTTTTTCCTGGATCAACAGCATTGCCTGTGGCTGGGTAGAAATAACCTCGAACACTACTACTACCTCTGGGCCTGGAGTCAAAGTTCTTGCAGCATCACATACAGCTGTAAGCCAACTTGTCCCACCTGTAGCCTGGATAGGAATGTTAAGTGAAATTTATGTCAGGTATGTTAGTAACAGATTGTTTTCACACTCTATAATCCCTTACAGTCTCATCATACCTGATCCCACTGACTTCCCTGGCAGATGGATTTGCCACGAGATCCTTACCCCCCACCAAAAAACGACCAGAACAGCAGCATTAATATAAAGATATATTCCATAAAAGAGTTTGGCAGTCAAAGAGAAGCATCACACTTCCTAAAAACACAAGCATTCTTCCTCTAGTCTACAGAGAATTGTTAAAAAAAAAAAAACAGAAAACAAAATTGTAACATCATCATCATCAAACCACCAGGGTCACCAGTATCACCACATGAGCATGTACACTTCGGCAAGTGACTGGAGGTGGCACTCAACCCCTGGCCCAGAGGACAGGGCTGGGAAAGCAATAGAGGAACTTGCCCAAGGAGGACAGCACCAGGCCATCCCTGGGGCACTTGGTACAGAGGCAGACTGTGCACCCAACAGCGAGCCTCAGGTGGCCTAGAAGGGCAGACACCAGGACCACAGATATCCCAGCAGGGAGATATGTCACCACAACATTTAGGAATGAAATGCCTTGAGCTGAGCTTCTCAGCAACTGTGGCCTGGCCCTGGGGCAGCATCCCTCTCCCAGAAGCACACATCAGGTGTCAGTGTGAGGCAGTGACAGGAGTCCTAGTCAAGGTTTCTATTGGCCTCCTTGGGCTGGGGCTCCCTGGGGCACCATGGGGAGGGAGAGTCAGGATTCAAGTTCTGGATGACAGTTTCAGTAGCACCAAGACCAGGAGACAGTGAGGCCAAGCCTGAGGGGGTGGTGTTTAATGGAGGACGGTGACAAGCATGGGCAGGAGAGGCTGTCATGATGGTTCTGAGACACTCCAGGGACACCGTATAAGGCTGCTGAGAGAATGCCCGAGGAAAGGAAGAGAAAACGCAGGCCTGCTGTGAGGACACTTTTACCACTATAAATAAACTATGTACACAAAGACAGGAGAGCCGGCTCTCAGCAAAGATCTGGGGCCCACCCCAACCTCCCTGGTGCCCTTGAGGCTTAATGCTGTGGAGACTGGAGTCTGATCTTGCCCACCCTGGTAGAGGGGCTGCTGGCTGGGGTACTAGTCACACACTGGCTCAGGCTCGCTTCATGTTGATGTGGCTGAAGTACTGGGGTTACCTACCACCCCAACACCCCCTATCCCCGAGTAGGGAAGGCCCTGTGCTGCTTGACTTAATGGAGAGGACCAACCCTGTCCTCACCTTCTGTCCTCAGTCCCCAGCTCACCCTTGGAAGATGTGATTGCCCATGAGCCCAGGCTACAGTGAAAGGCGGGGGCCTGCAGATGCCCTCGGGCTCCAGGCAGGCTGAGTGAAGCCCTCTTTGTAACCGCGGGGGTCCCATCTGTCCCTCAGAGTCATCACCACATGGGAAGACACATTTTCCACCAGGTGAACCCTGGGGATGCAGTCTCAAGTCCAAGCATGTAAGAAGGAGCCCTGGTCTTCAGCACCAGCAAGCAGAAACAGAGAGGTCACATCACGCTGATGCCGAAGATGGCTCTGGCTCTGGGTGGCTCTCAGCTTCAGCTCCTTTCCTGTGAGGGCAGGTTGGTGGTGGTAAAGGCTGGGCCTCCACAACATGGCTTGGCTCCTCAGAAGTGGTGACCCGCCTTTACTGCCTCAATGTCTGAGATCAGGGTCCTCGCCAGGAAGATGCCGAAAATCTGCAACCAAAGGCAGCAGCCAGTAGTCATTAGCAGGTCTCAAAGGCAGAGAACAGGAAGTAGGGGGCAGGCTGAGGACAATCCACTACACACAGGTCCCTTGCCCACCCCTCTGGGGATATAGGACAGAGAGAGCAATTCTGGGCAAGTGAGCAGCACAACAGACCCACCAGGAGGTGAGCCCAGGGTCCCTTCTGCGTCCCCATGGCCTAAAAGAGGCCAAAGCAGGTACCATAGAGCAAAACGGACACCGAGCCCCACCTCCATAATGAGTGAGCATGTCACGTGCCACGGAGTGCGCCACACCCATGCCCTATGTTAAACCAAAAGTAACAGGGATGACTCATCTGGTTCTGATTCCCAGTAATAAATGTTTCCTCTAAACCTAGATTCATCACAAACCAATGCTGTCCCTGTTGGCTGTTGCATGCATGAAGACATGTCCTGACCTTGGTCAAGAGGGAGGAGTGAGGCTTTTTCAATTGAACTGACCAGCATGAACTTGGTAACCTCTGACATTGGCTTGGTTTTTTTTCCTTTTGTAATTCTTGCTGTAGTTCATAACTGACAAGTCAGTCTTTCTGAAGTTTGATTTCCCTGCCTGCTTTCCAAGTGAGTTTTTCCTTTCCTCCTAGTGCTTCTCTCAGCTTTCCTCTGCCCCACAGAACATGGACCATAGAGTGAAGGTGGAAGCATGTGGGGGCAGCTGGTGGCCAGGGACACTGCAGTCACCCTCAGGGCCAGGCCAGAGTTGAACACTTATCTTAACACCTGTGTTCCACATACACGGCATCCAGTGCTCGGCATTGCCAGAGGCTGTTGCATCTCCTCAGCAACCCTGAGCAGCCCTGGAAACAATGCCTGTTCTCTGATGTCACTAAATTCTTTTCTCTTTCAGGACGCTGGTAGCCCATTTATCCAGGACCTGCTGCCCCTCTGCCAGTGTCCTTCCACACGTGAAATCTGGTTCAAATGAACACAAGGGCAGCCTTGCAGGAGAAAGACAGTCACAAAGGGCAGCAGCCAGGGGGTCTCACGTGAACAAGAGTGATGCCTGTGAGATGTATTCCAATGTCCTGAGTGACCACATGAATCCCAACTGACCCACAGGCTCACACTTTGATCTGCAGCTCTCACTACCCCCTTAAAGCCTACTACTTCCACTCACCAACAGAGAAGCATCCCAAAGCAGATGGCAACCCAGCCAGCGTGCACTCAAATCCCCAAACTCCAGGCAGGTGAGGTACTTCTTGCAGCCTTACTGAGCCTTCCTGGAGAGGGTTATGGTGCCCTCCCAGCTCAGTCTGAGCCCAGTCTCTCAACATGCAACGCTTATGGGAGCTGTCATGCTAAATGTATGTATGGGTGCGTGCATGCGTACACATGTAAACACACACACACAGCCTGGACATCCAGTTTCTGATGGATACTTGAGCTGGACAAGTATCCTGTTAAGAGGCCAACTCTTTCAAATGAAAAGCAGCTTGCCCACCACAGCCCCATAGGATCCTGGAACATACCTGCAAGAGTGAGATGGCAAGGAAAACGCCGGCCACAATGTAGATGTTCCTTGGCAGCCAGCCCTCCAGGGCCGGGATACAGCCCTTTGTGAAGATGAACTCATCCCACTTGCTCTTTAGCTACAAGAAACACACAGTGGCCTGAGCCTGAGGCACACATGATGCCCCCACCCTGGTCCTCTAGAGAGCCCAACTCCAACAATGAGCAGGACAAAACTTATGGAAGGCTCCAGGGGCAGGTGCCAAGGACAATCAGGATTCCTTGGCTCCCTAGTCACCTGTCAGACCAAAGGCTCCCTGGCCCTGATCTGTAACCCCTTTCTTTTGGGGGCCTCCAGAGATTCAAAGACTCCCAAAGCCCTCAGGAAGGGGCCTGAAGGCAAGGAGGAAGATAGGCCTTTGAAGGGAGAAACTGGGAGAGGAGGTTCTGAGTGTGCACAGCCAAAGGAACTGCAGAAGGAAGGGACAGTGGCTCCTTGGGGAGGGTCTCCCACAGATAAGTCTGGCTCTAGAACACGAAGCCAGTAAATGATGGCCATCAGGCTACCTCTAAAGCCAAACTCTGGTGATAACCAGTAGGTACACAGAGCTTGTATCCCAGGCCAAACCCCACCCCTACCCACCCACATACAGCCTCAGGCCCAGCTCCCTCCCTACCAACCTCCTCTGTGGCAAGTGATGGACTCTCATTCATTCTGGCAGCTTTACGGGCTGTGCTACGCTCCTGCACTAATCCCTAGGACCTCAGAATATGACAGACAGTATTTGAAGATAGGTTCTTGACAGACAGATTGTTATAGTGGGTCCTGATACAGTAGGACTGGTGCCCTTCCAAGAAGAGGGATCAGGACATGGGCACAGAGATAAACCATGTGAAGGCACAGAGATAAACCATATGAAGACACAGAAGGAAGATGGCATTTATCCAAGAGCCCAGCGGAGAGGCCTGGATAGACCCTTCCCTCACAGCCCTCGGAAAGAACCAACCCTGCTGACATAGTGATCTTAGACCCTCAGCTTCCAGAACTATGAGGAAATAGATTCTACTGTATAATCCACCCAGTCTTTGGCACCTTGTCATGGCCACCCTAGCAAACTAACATAAGGGGTGATGAAACTCGTAACCAAGGAAGCTGAGCTGACAGAAGTCCACAGGTCTTTCCAGGCTGCTACAACAAAATACCACATGCCAGGTGATTTAGAAGACCATAATGTGTATCTCACTGGTCTGGAGGCTGGGAAGTCTAACAGCAAGACACTGGTAGAGTTGGGGTCTGTGAGGGCCTGTGTTCTGGCTCACAAACGATCCCTTCCACTGTGTCCATACATGGTGGAAGGGGTGGGCTGGCTCTAACCTCATCCATCAGGATTCTGCTCTTGTGACCTAATAACCTCTCAAAAGTCATCACACTAGCAATTAGGGTTCAATCTATGAATTGGGGTGGGGGGCAGGGCACAAACACTCAGCCATAGAAGCCAGTCCCAAGAAATGGAAGTCACTGAAAAAGGACTCTTGAGTTTCCCAAGCTTCCCAAACACATCTAGTGTCTGTAGCCAAGAGGAGGGTCCTCCAGATTCCCCAAGCCCTCCCTTTCAGGACAGCATCACTTATATCAACAAAGGCCACCAAAAAAAAGACTGGAGGGGGGGATAGAAGGCTATGCCTATGTCTTTGGGTGGTGGTCTTGCTTCTCTCCACATGCAAGCACCTGCCCTGAAGTAGGCCCAAGAATTCTAAGCCCCCACCCCAGGATATCTCCCTCCTGCCATAAGCCCCACCCCCCGTCACCACTGCCTCCCTTTGGAAGCCAGGTCAAGCCACATACTCCCCCACCATGAAGCCCTCTAAGGAGCCTCTTTAAAAAGCAACTTTGTTCCCTAGCACTTTTGCCCTACCACTCTAAAGCACCAATGGCTAAGTCTGGGGACTGCAGTCATAAGGCTTTAATTCTCCACCTACCCCTGCATGTGGGGATCCTGCCACCAGCTCAGAGTCGTACCATGATCCCACTCAGCTGGCTCCCACCTCAAATGTCAATTTTGAGCTAATCTCCCCTCATTTCGTACTCTCATCTACACTTTTGCTAAAGCAGGAAGTTAGACCATAGAGAATAAAAAACTAAAAGCTGTCGCCCTATAGAACTCTCAAAGTTGAGCATACTGGGATTCTCACCTGAATCCTGACATCATATCCACACTGTGTGTTCACAACTTTTTGCTGTAAAAAAGCAGAAAGCTAAGTCAGTTTTATCCTCTTGAGAAGCTGGAGGTTGGAGGCCCTGGAAAAATCTCATCCCAGCACCAGCAAAGCTGTACAAATCCCATCACAGTGCACATCAGCAAACCTATGCAAATCCCGTTACCTCATACACCCTCCAACCACGGGAGTAGTAAATCCTTCAACAAAGTCTACAGCACAACTACCCCACTCTGCCTCCGTAGCAGGAGAGCAGACAGTGGAGGTGTGAAGGAACAGGCACAGTTCTATTTCTGGAAAGTTGCATGAACAACTCTCACATGTCACAAAATACTATCCTTCTTCTGACTTCTTTTCACCCACACCACAGCTTGGGTGCTGGATGCCTCCCAGATGGCACTTGAGGACACAGAGCCTAGTCAGAAGCCCTTAAGTCTCTGGACCCTTGAAGGCGAAGCAGGACCCTGGCCCTTTCCTTTTGCTTCTTGGAGGCAAGGTGAACAAAATACCACATGCCAGGTGATTTAGAAGACCATAATGTGTATCTCACTGGTCTGATCTGGAGGCTGGGAAGTCTAACAGCAAGGCACTGGTAGAGTTGGGGTCTGTGAGGGCCTGTGTTCTGGCTCACAAACGATCCCTTCCACTGTGTCCACACATGGTGGAAGGGGTGGGCCGACTCCTAACCTTATTCATCAGGCTTCTGCCCTTATGACCTAATCACCTCTCAAAAGCCCATCCTCCAAAAGTCATCACACTAGCAATTAGGGTTCAACCTATGAATTGGGTGTGGGGGCATGTGCTCCACCATGTGCTCTCCACTATGCCATCTGTCACCCCACCAGAAGCCTAGGAGCAATGAGTCTGCCTGATTATGGCCCAGAACCCCTAAAACTGTGAGCCAAAATGAACTTCTCTTTAAAGTACTATCTCAGGCATTTCCTTATAGTGATGGAAAGCTAACACGATCTATTTAAAAACAGCTAAAAGCATCTAGCCTTGTAGGTCACAGAAAACCGTGGGCCAGACCTTGCCCATGCAATGGAGGTGGTGTCTTGCCTGCTCTGAGGACCAGGCATCAACAAACTATGCAGACAGCTGCAAGGGGCCAGTTCTGCTCAGACTCAGTTCAGGCAAAATCCAGCACTCCTTCACATCTCCCAACAGGAGCCCAGTTTCTGGAACCCCAAGGACCTGGGCCATGAACAGGGAACGAAGTGAAGAACAACAGAAAATAATGTTCCATCACAGAGTCTGTGCCCAGAAAGTGCTGTACCCCACAGCCCCTGGGGGCTGCTACAGGCTGGGTGCTTTCTCTAGAGCAAGGGCATGAAGAGGACAGGCCAGACAAAGGGCTCACTGCCTTCACAGTATCCTTTCAAGGCAAAGTGAGGATATTGCTTTCCTCCTCATCTAGCCCGCACCCCATGTAGTAGGGACGATGCAAGAGCATTCCTGTAACTTTACAGGATCCCAGGGTAGCCGGCTCACCGCTGGATCCGGCACGCAGCAGGAGAAGGGCACCCCACACTTTTCACGGCTGTAGCTGGCACCACTGCAGTTGAAATATACATTGAGGTCCCAGTCTTCAGGGCCATATGCCCCGCAGCAATGGTTCTGTAATCACAAATGCCCAGAACTGTCAGGGGTCTCAAGGTAGGGCCAGCGTGCCCAGCATAGGGCCTGTCTGGTTTGGCAGGGTAAGCAAGCTCCCATTTGACAGGGAAACCAAGGTCCACCCTCAACTCTCATGCACACAGAGATGCCAGGTGCTGCAACACCGGTAGCCCTTTAAGGGGACAGCAACCCTGACATCTCCATCTGACACTCAGGCTGGCTCCACCAGCACGTGGCTCCAGGCCCTTCTTGGCCAGACACTTTCCCTTCCTCCCTGTGTCTTCCACCTCACTGCTCCTCCTGCCCCGAGGCCCCTCATATGTGGACATGTCCTTTCTTATCAGAGGGAACCCTCAGGGGGCAGCAGGTCTTGTCCTCAAGAAACTTTACTCTGGTCCCAGTTACTTATTTGCCTCTTTGCAAAAGAGCTGCTGAGTGTCTCGCCCAGAGCAAGAACTCTGACTGAGGTGAACAGTGGCACATCCACCTCTGCCCCAACCCAGGGTCTCTGTCCATGCTTCCCACTATCTGGTACAGATGCAAAGAAAACCCTCCACCCCAAAAGCATCTCTGTGAGGAACAATGGAACCCACCCAAGGGGCACCCAACCCAGGAGCCATCATGTCTGTACCTGCCCTCAAGGCTGACATGGTAGTTGCAGAAGACACAACAAATGGCAACACAGGTGTCTGTCTTCAGTGTCTTTTTTGTCACTATTTTTAAGATAAGATCCCACCTTCTTATGCCACTGTTTTAATGATTACCTATGTTTCTCCCAAGAAAGGTCCCTAACTTACTAACTTCCCTGGGGCAGCCTTGTTTCTGAGAGGAGAAGAAGGTGGGTAGAAGCCTATACTGCCTGTCAGGAAACACGGGAGGAAGCACCTTAACCCAAGGCCATGTGGATTCAGAAAGCAAAGGGACCAGGACACGGGACAGAAAAACAATGGTGAGGGACACGCAAACAAGAGTGGGGCGGTCTGGTGACTTGCAGAGAGTCAGCATCAACTATATGGGTGGACTCTTCGGTCGCTTAAATGAGTTTTGCTAGCTCCATGATGATACATGAACTAAAGACAAGCAAGTTTTGGTTATAGTAAGAGTGGAACATGGTTATTTTTAGAGTCTTCTAGTTTACTTTCTTCTCAGAAATAAAATGCTATGTATCAAAGTTCTAAAGGAACTTGGGCTTCTGACAGAGCTCAATTCCAACAGAAGCCTTGCACAGGATGACTGGTGGGCCTCAGAATGGCTGTGGTCCAGGTCCCCATGCAGCTGCCCATGCAGAGCGGGAGGCAATGGACCAAAGAGAGCTGACTTCTTGGCCTCCAGAGACATTCCATAGAGTTCACATTCGCCTCCAGCAGAGACAGCTTCCTCCCTGTAGTTCTGCCCTTCTCTAGCAGGAAGGGAAAGGTCCCAGGGGGAGGAAGAGGACAGGAATAACCTCGGAAGGTGAGTCATGAGCTTTGAGCTGTGGTGGGAGAAGATATGCCCCACCATGCCTGTAGGGCCCAAGATCCCAGGGAGGACTGGCTGCCAATATGGCTACTGAGCAAGGCTATGGACATCTGGGCCCCAAGGGAGAAGGTGGGGTGGGCTCGGCTCCTGGGACTAGGTGCCCACCAGTACAGACGGTCTTGCCTACCCTGCCCCAATAGAGGAGACACAGCCAGGTAATCGACACGGCGAAACAGAACTGGCCAGAGATGGAGTGGGGCAATGCAGGCAGAAAACCCTCGAGGCCAGCCAGCCTCAAGTTCCCCAGCCTCAGCTGTAGGCAGCAGAACTAGGGAGTCTGCTGGGTGCACTTACAGCTTTCTGCAGTGAATCGATGAGGTTCTGCAGGTCAATGTCATCCCGATAGGACCTGATGTTGCTCTCAAAGAACTCCCGGAATCGATCTCTCACCCAGTCCTGGAACAGGAAGGCCAGGACAGCACCAGCCAGTTCCAGGAAGAAAATGAGCACAATGGCACCGCAGAACTGTAAGAGACATGGATAGGGACGTCACACACCACCCGCCTGGCCTGGCCCTGTGAACCATGTTCTCACCTAGAACCATTATCTGCTGCACCAGCAATAGCTGCACACTCAGGGATCTCCCATTATTAGCTGGAAGACTCTAGGCAACTCTGCCCCCTCTGTAAATGGGGATGCTCATCACAGCCATGTCACTGGCTGCACATTTGGGAACAGAAAATGTGGGGGGTTATCAGCAGGCCTAACCCCACCTGCCAATCACCGCCAAGGAAGCCCCATCTGGGGAATGAATGGCCATCCCACCAAGCAGTCTGGTAGCTGCTTGTGAACAAAGCCTGTGTGTCCAGGCACTAAATGGCCCCTTGCCAAGTCCACAGAACCCCCTAAGCTCCTAAAAATCCCACCTGTCACCTCCACTTTAGGGACAAGGGAACTAAGGTTCACTCTGGTGCACAGCTTTGCCACAAATGACAAATTTGGAGAAGACTTTCAAATTAAGAGAAGAAACAGAAGCAAGCACTCATATATTCATGCATACACACAGGCCTCCAAAATGTCATCTGTTTACATGGAAGCCAGATGCTAAACATAGCGTTTTTAAGATTAAAAAAAAAACTAGAAAAAGATGTGCTTTGCTTTTTAAATTAAGCCCAGAACAAAAAATGCTTGACCTAATATACTCAACAAATAATATATTGTGAAAAATGACAATGTGTTTTCCTCAACAGGTGCTAATTTTAACTGAATGCATTTACAAATGCATTTGTATCTAAATATAAAACTAAACTCCGAGTAGCTTGCAATTTTGCCAGGAAATTGGGATTCTGCATTGCATGTCCAGATCCATACACCCTAGAGGAGGGAAATTATTTCTCAATGCTACTGGCAATATCTTTTGATCTTAGCCAGGAAGGGCAAAGGTGAGCAGCAAACAAACAATTCCTTTAGAACTTGTGGGGGCAGATAAAAGGCCAGGGAGGGAGGAGTAAACTCCTGCTGGCTCTTCCCACAGGGGCTGCAAACCAGCTGGATCCAGGTTCTCTGGGTGAGGAGCCAGCTCATCTGGACTTTTTCCTAATTCCACCTCTCCATGAGGCAGCAGGGTACAAAAGGCTGCTCCCTGCGGCCCCTGCCTAGACCAGAAAACACACAGGCCTACCCAGCAGAGCACACACCTCTGGTCCCCGCCCCCAGCCCTGGCTGTGGGTCACTCACAAACTTGAGCAGGCAGATGTTCTCCCGCAGGGCCCCCACGCAGCCGGCGAAGCCTAGTGTGAACATCACCACGCCCACCATCAGGACCAGCACCACCGGGTCGATGCCATGCAGCCGGGTCACTTTGGTGAGGTCAGACAGCACACCCTGAGGAGTCAGAGAAAGCTGGTAGTCAACGGCCATGTCAGGGACTGAAGGCAGGGGCCTTCTGAGGCATTGTCCTGTCATTAGAAGCCAGACTAGAGGGTAGCCCTGCTCACCTCCTTGGAGGCCACTTTGCTGGTATCTCCTTGCCTACCTCAGCCATAAAAGCTCCTGGTCTCCTTGAGGCTATGGGTTCCTCTATGGCTAGTGGGAAGGGAAGTCCTGCAGTCCTCTTGTGAAGCACACACTCATACAGAGAAGGCTGCAGTGCTGCCCCAAACCTTGCACTGGCCACAGGTGGTACTGAGCACTTGAGGGACTGAGGAACAGAACCTGCATTTATGTTGTTTAACTTTAATTAATTTAAGCATAAATACACATAATAATAAGTGGCTAGTGATAACTACAAGGGACAAAAGTCTCAGACTCAAAGAAGTAAGGAGGAAAGAGCTCCAGGCCAGGGCTCTGCCTAGTCACACTGCTGCAGTCCTGAAGGTGGCCACATGGTGGTGCTGTGAGTTGCAGGCTGGTCCAGTCTCCAGGTCAAGGAAGCAAAGGGGCCCTGTGCTCCTGCTCTTGCCATTTGGAGGTTCCCAGGTAAATGTGGAAAGTGCAGCCCCTATCCAGTTCCTCAGAACATGGCAGTAAAATATACTCAGACCTAAGAACACCTCCTGCCTGCTCCTCAAGACAGCAAAGGCAGGCTCCACTGAAGGAACAAGGGGCCCTGAGGCTGGGGCTCTGGAGGGGGCTTTATTCCCCTTTCCACTGTGCTGCTTCCTCTCTTTCCAAGGCCCCACTAGCATTTCAGCACTTACCACCAATCCATCATGGGGCAGGGACAGCACCTCTTTTACCCTACCCATACCAGTGCAGATGCCGGAGCTCCAAAGGCCCTGGTCCCTCCAAACTATAACAGCTTGGTCTCCTCACAAGCTGGGTGAGGGGTCCACAGGTGCATAAAGACCCACAGGGCACAGAGCGGCCCCTGCTGTGCCTCCAGACAAGGACAGGCAATTCAGGAGCAAAGAGGACTATGCTCCAGGACCAGCTCACTTCCCGCCACGGGCAGAAGGGCTCAGGGAGGCGGCACCACCCACACTTCCCCTGCACCCAGCTACACACAAGCTCTGTGCCATGGGAGGTTTCTGGGAACAGAGAGAGAGAGAGAGAGAGGTCTGCACATGCACAGAGCTCAAAAAGCCAGAGCCTGGACTGGCCCAGTGTTGGTCATAAGCTGTTGACCCTGCCAGCAGAGGAGTGGAGCCAGCCTAGGGCTGCTTCTCTGAACCTCCACTGCACAAGAAACACTTGTATGGGAACAGAATGGAGAGGACAGTTCAAGTTGAATGAATCTGGTTGGGGCTACATGACACTCAGGTCCCCCATATAGGATCTACCTACCTTTTCACTCCATGCCCACAGCCCAACTCCGAGGAAGACAACTCCAGCCAACTGAGCACAGGCAGGGGGTGGGGGAGAGAGAAAGGACAGTTAGGTCAGAAACCAGGGACATGAACATGTTTTTGTTGTTATTGGGTTGGGTTTTACTGGTTGGTTGGTTTATGGTACTAGAGACTGAACCCAGAGCCTTTGTGTTGAGCTATATCCTCAGTTCTTTTATTTTTAATTTGAGACAGATTCTAAGGTGCTAAGATGTCCTGGATGGGTTCGAACTTGCAATCCTCTTGCCTTAGCCTCTGAGAATGCTATGTGCCAACCATGTCCAACAAACATGGTTCCAAGAGCAGAGTCCATTGCCAGTCAGAGATGTTCCAGATTCCTGCCTGAGGTAGCACTTTGACCTTGGCAGATAACCAGGAAGAGCCTTCCTAAATTTCTGACAAATCCCTTCAAATTCAGAGGGCCCCATGACCTAGGGAGCAGAGGTAAAGATCTCAGAGCAGACTTGGTCCTGGGGACCACAGAGTGGAGACATCAGGTTGTGCCTCATTTCTTCTGCACTTTGCATCCAGCCCCTCAACTCATTTCAACACATTTCCCAGTGTATAAGACATGGACTTCATGAAGCCTGCCCTGGTGCCTCAGAGGCCTCCAGGGGAGGTGACGCTCTGCAAGGTGACCGGGAGGGGCAACAGAGAGCACCATCTCTGCTCTTATCTCAGGCTTCTTGCCCTAGACTCAGGCTCCAACAACAGACAAGCAAAGCAGCTACCCAGGCCATCTGCTGGTCAAGGTGGAGAGCCTCCTCTCTGTGGCACCTACACTCAGCACAGGGCACATATGTGCCCAGGGAATACTGAGTTATTAGCTGAATTAAACCAGGCCTGCACTAAAAACTGAGCTCACTCAGGGAAGCACCTTGAGCCTGACCTCATACCTACAGGAATCCCTGAGCCAAGAGAAAGGGGCCCAAATGCAGCACTCAACTTTGCAAGCCAGGAGGCACGTCTCGTAAAACCCAGACATGCCAGGCCCCCTGTAAGCAAAGGTGCTTCCTAGGTGAACTACTTGATACCAGGCTGGCATTTCACTGCTACTCATCAGTGCCTCATGACAAATAACTGGGCTGGGTATCTCCATGACTCTCAACTTTCCAAAGTCAATTATTCTCAAGCTTTGGCTGTTTCTGAACATTTTATTCAATAGCCTGGAAGGAAATGCCCACTACAGTGAAAGCCCTGGGAAGGCTCTACCTCTTTCAGATCAAAGACAGCTTTCAGAAAACACCCTTCCTCTATACACAGCTTCAAAGCGTTCCCAGCTTCCTACGGCTGGTTCCCACAGCAGTCTGTGGACTCCTCAAGTGAAGAGGCCCTGCCAGGACCTGATCCTTACACATCATGAAGTAGAACAACAGGACCTGGGAAAGACCAGGACCAAAATGGCAGTCCCCATCCCCACCTCAGTTCATCCATTCCTTTACTCCTCACTTACTGGTTCCACAAATAGCCACTCAGCACTTCCTGAATGCCAGCAGAGGACCAAGCATGCACACCTCTGGGATGCTAGCACAACGGCTCTAGTGGGCCCACGGTCCTGGTTCTGCCTACCAAACCACACCCATTTCCTAGTTGGTAAGATATCCAGTTTTCTTGATGGGCCACTTCCTCTCTTCACCCTAGAAGTTTTGCAATGGAAGTAAGAGCCCTCTAGCCAGCCCCAAGACAGCAATGTAGAGGCTCTGACGATAATCAGAAAAAGCCTTCCTTCATGGATTCCAACCCACAGGCAAATGGTCACTCTTCACAGTCCCCAAAGACTGACTTCTCTCTTGCCAATAATGAAGGTCGTCTTATCTGAACTTATCTGAGGTGAAGTCATGGTCGGCCTTCCCTTGTCCTCTGACCACTTTGCTGACACACCCAACCTCAGACACCAGCTCCCCCTCCCCCAAGGCTGTCTTCTTCCTTCAGGCTGTGGCTCCTCTTTCCAACCCCACCTCGTGTGGTGGAACCTCACAATCAGTCCTAGATCTCCAGTCCTGGCCACTCTCTAGGTTACACATCCTAAGGTCTGTGTAGCTTGTCTACCCCAGCTAAGGAGACTCCAATCTTACCATACCCCAGGAAAGCCTGGATCTCCCAAACCCCACCCTGCTCCTTCCCAACTCCTCCTCTCCTCACTAAATGGTACCACTGCCAGGTGGTGCTCACTCGGTAAGGAGACCACCTAGACCTGCTGCTTGATGCCTCCTTCCCTCTTGTCCCACATTCATCCCACTAGGACCCTCTCTTTAAAATGTATCACCCATTGACTAGTTTTCTTCCTGACTTTGCTTCCATCTTTCATGATCCGCCTGTTCAGTCAGGAGGTCTCCTCTCAGGCCTCTGTGCAAACAGAGTGATCTTTTTAAAATGCAGCTGCCTTGGACCAGGAATTTAGCTCAGTGGTTTCACTGCCCGCCTCATAAGCACAAGGTCCTGAGTTTGATCCCCAGTACTAAAAAAAAAATTATATAGACAGATAGATATAGATATAGACATATATCGGTGTCTGAGAGAAGAGTCCACTGCTAGTCAGGGATATTCCTAGCTCCTGACTAGGGTAGCATCTCAGCCCCAGGAAGTAAGAGCCCTCTAGCCAGCCCCAAGATAGCAATGTAGAGGCTCTGAAGACGATCAGAAAAAGCCTTCCTTCATGGATACCAAAAAACTCAGATACTGCAATCCTGTTCATACAGTGGCATAGTATTTGTGTAGTAGAACCTAACCTAATCCTCCCATAGACTTTAAAGCATCCCTAGATTACTTATCATGCCCCAAACAATGTAAATGCTGTATAAATACCTGTTGTACTGTATTGTTTAGGGACTATGGGGGAAAGTCTATGCATTGAATACAGGCACAGGAGTTTTTTTTAATTATCTTCTATCTAAGGTTGGCTGAATCCACAGAAGCAGAATTGGGAGATGGTGAAGGATGACTGTGTGATAAGGTAATTCACTCCTCAGAACCTTCCTGTGACTTTTCTTCACCCCTAGAACAAAACATTAACTCTGTTATGCAGCACAGGGCTATGCAGCAGGCCTCCACCTACAGCTCCAACATCACCTCCTGCTGGTCTCCCCAGCCAGCCCCAGCACCTAGTTTACTGACCCTACCAACATGTCATCCGGAGAGTCATGACACTGTGTTGGTACTTTGCTTCCTCCTCACTTCCCTTACAGGTCCTCAAATGCCACTTTCTCAGCGATGCCTCCTTTTACCATCCCAGGTGAAAGTGTTCCCTGATAATGAGTCACTCAGACCTGCACAGTTCTCTTCACAGCACTGACCCAACTACATGGGATGATGGCCTCTATCCAATACCATGGGAAAGGACCTGACACATACACAGACAGTACCAGGGGAATGCAAGACCAGGTGCTTCGAGGCCATGGTCCTTCCAACTCTCCTCCCAGGCACACATCCAAGCCTCACTCACTCCCCAGGGCCAAGCAAGAGCCAGCTGGCTGGGTCCATGGTCACGCCCTAAACAGCTGTGTTAGCCTAGGATGGGAGCACAAGAGAGCCTGCAGAGTGTGCAGCATTCATAAGCCTGCCTACCCACTTTCCACAACCAACCACCCACCCTAGCACCCTGCAGCCAGGTAAAGAGAGGCTGCCTTGAAACACCAGCCACCACCCAGAGCTCTCCTCCCCTTCCCACTGCACCACACAGCTCACTCCTTCACCCCATCTTCTACATCTGTCTTCCCCTCATTCAGAGCTGCTTTCGACGTTTTAGTTCTTCCCTTGGGTGATCAAACAATTAAGAGGAAATCTGCTCTGCCAAAACATACAAACAAAAGTCCTTAAGAAAGTGCACAGACAGGCGTGCTCCCATCCAGTCTGCCCTGCACCCCAGACCAGATGAATTCTCACTGCTTCCCAAGACCCAGAAAACCCCTGTAGCACGGGTCTCCTCCTCTCACAATGACTGGGCTCTAAGAATTAAGGGCTCAGGTTGTGTGTGTGTGTGTGTGTGTGTGTGTGTGTGTGTGTGTGTGTGTTTCTCATTGTGCCTTAAAAGAGAGCTAAGGTCAACTCACAGCAGAAGGACAGGAACTGGGTCAATGCAATGAACACTGGCCCAAGCAGGAACTTGGAGACTAGAGAACATTTTAGAGACAAGAGAACTGGGGGAAAAGCAGGCAGAAAAGACCCCCAGGGTGATCACACAGTGCCCCATGAGCCAGCCAGGCACCCTGCCAGCTTCAAATGAAGCCTTCCCTAGAGCTCTGGAGCAGATGTCTGTGGGTCCAGGCTGAACCACTTTCCTTGCCAGAATTGCTGGTCCAGGACTGCTGCTTCTGCTGGGTGTCCTCTAGCCCCAGAGTGGCCTTCTCTGACTCCCTTCTATGACTTCAAGGAATTCCCTCGTGAAGAGGACCCCCAACTCCAGCCAAACCAGTGGGAAGCCAGTCTTCTGCCTTCTTGGGCCATCGGGCACAGAGACTGCTGGGGTCATACTTTCCTGAGTGCCACACACTGTGCTAAACACACACCTTATCAGATGGTCCTCTTACCTTCATTTTTCATGCTGTAGAGTAACTTGGTTATTTGTGTCCAAGGCCACACAGCTAGCTGGTAACAGACTTAAGAACCAAATCCTAGTGTTTCTGACCCTGACTACTTATTACCTCCCCACCCACAGAGCAGCCACCCTGCCACCCAGGCCAGGAAGGGCAGCCAACCTGTCTCAGGAGGGCATCCACACAGGAGCCCAACAAAGTAAAATGCCACCGAGAGGTTCCAGCTTCGCAATGCTAAAGCCAACAACCCATACTACCAGATGGTAGGCCTATTGTTTGCTGAGCACAGCACAGGACAGGGAAATAGGGCCTCTGTGGGGTCACTGTAAAGATTCAATGTTGGCCTTTCCCTCTTATGCAATGCCTCTAGAAAGAAAGATCTCTGGCTTGTCCAGCCCTCCCTTGTCCTGGAAGCCACAAAACATCTCCTTAACACATGTGCAAGCCTGTGGTACTTTACCCAAACAGGATCAAGTCC